ATATATATATAATGTATTTTAATGGAATGTATAATAGGGAACATATACATGAGAAATATTTGTATTTATGCGCACACACACACTATGGAAGCTCGTTCCCGCCACGGGGTTAAAGAAAATACGAAATAAATAACTTGTATGAAAACAATTTTAAAAAAAGAAGTCAGAATTAGGAGATAGAAATTCAGAATTATGACTTTCTCACAATTATGACTTTTTCCCCTAAATTCTGAGATCTTAAATCAGCATATTAGAATGATTTCTGAAGATCATGTGACACTGAAGACTGGAGTAATGATGCTGAAAATTTAGCTTCGATCACAGAAATAAATTATATTTTAAAGTGTAATAAAACAGAAACCAGTATTAGAAATTTAAATAATATCTCACAATATTACATTTTTTTTCTGTATATTTGATCAAATAGATACAGCCTTGATGAGCACAAGAGACTCCATTAAAAAACATTAAAAATCTTACCGATCCCACACTTTTGTGTGTGCGTGTGTGTATATATATATATATATATATATATATATTTTAAAAATCTTGGAATTGTGAGAAAAAAGGTCTGAATTAGGAGATTTAAACTCAGAATTGCAGGGGGGAATGTAATTCATCAGCCATTGAAAAGCCATAACATACCAAGAAGTTATATTTATCCTTTATTTTCACTTCCCTAAATTAAGCAGCCGCATAAAATAAAAAGATCTAGTGTAGCACAATTCCCTGATTATCCTATAAGAACTTAAGTTATTTTTTATATAAATAACTGCACAGCGCTTCACAGTGACCACAAATGCTATCAAAATTATACACTGACAAGATCAAATAAAAATGACATATCTTTAAATATCAAGGCCTTAACGGTGCAAACTTCAAATGCTAAGTTAAGCTACATATGCGAGGTACAGTAAAATAACCTACAGCATGAGGTTAGTGGCATGCACTTAATCATAAAGCTATGTTAAGTTGCTCTCTGAAATGCTGCAATATATTTTTCTGTTAACATTTAGTGGTTCATAATTGATAAACGCATCTTGCATAATGAGGATATCCATTTTTTTAATCAAAAAGCATATAGTGCCATAGGATCATGTGATGGTTAGTTTGGATGTGTTTTAAGGCAGTATGTACTGTATTGCTCAGGCATTTTGGGTGTAATGGCTTAAAGCTAAAAGATGTCCCTTCTAGTCCAGAACGATATGATCTTCACACATCAACCACACATGGTCAGGTACAGCCACTGTAAGAGAGAGCAAAAGAGCTAATTATTTCATTCCCTTTTCTTGAGAAAATATACCATATTAAGTTTAAACGCATTACTAATTTAACATTCCACCATTTTGAAAAGTACAGGTGAACAGAAGGTAAGAAACGACCCACCTCACTAACATTGAGCTCTGCGACGCCTGAGCCCTCTTTGTCCAGTTCTCTAAAAGTCCCTGTTAAATAATGACACATTTAATGAGTCGTTGTAGTGAAACATTAGCAAATTTTGCAAAAACAAGAATTAGATGTGCAAATGACGTACTGAACATGGCCTCCAGTTTGACCAGGCAACAGACAAAATTGTCGAAGTCAATCGTATCTCCATCAGAATATCGTGCCACAATTATTTGATGTAGCTTGTTATTGAGTTTAAAGCCTGCAGACAAAGAATAGGCATCATTTTAAGGCTTTGATTTTGAATTAAACTACCAATCTCAGATCAGTTTTATAAATTTGTAGACATTTTTAATGCTACGAATTTATAATTTAAAGGAAAAGTAGTAGTTTAGTCTCTTATTAGCCTGTAGAGCCAAGCTCTCCATTGAACAAGCCCTGAAAATTAACAAAAAGAACACATATTATACAGACACTCCATATTTAATGGCATTAGGTGATTCATAATTGCATTTAATAGCTTATACTTTAAATAAAACAACTGCAGTGTGTTTGAAAAAGCTGTTTTATTCATGTTTTGGCCGAGTTTTTGTTGCATTTAAACAGTTTAGACCAGCAGGTGTCACCAGCGTGTGGTATTTCGAGCGCTTCAAAATAGTGAATCATTTTGCAAAGCAGTTGGTTCAATTGATTCAAAGCTTCGTTTAGTTCTCCCATCGCTAGATTAAACGCAAACTTAATTTGAAATCCTAAAATCGGTCACTGATCATTGCCTATTGTCAGTGGCGGTGTGAAAACATTAGTATTATGAGTAATATGAGCCGGTTCACTTCAGTGATTCAAAAACACACAGCACCACCAATGTGCGATTCACAAACGAATCACTCTCAGTGAATCAAAAACATAAAGCGTGACCAGTGTAGCCTGATTCACAAACAAACGATCCTTATGAACCGTTTTTTAAAACATAGAAATCATATTCAGTGAAGTCTGATTCCTAAAGGTATTACTCTTATGAACTGGTTCTTCTTAGTTAATCAAAACATACAGCCTTGATTTCCAAAAACCACGCACAAGTAAACCAAAACATACCAAATTAATCAAAATGATTTAGAATCAGATTTGAATCAAATCTGGATCGATACTCCTCCTTAATCTCTATTAAACAACAAGATATCATGGTCAAAGATTTTCACAAGATGAACATTAAAAACTATTACCAGCTGACTCCACGGCGAGGCGCATTTCATATGAGCTCATTGTGCCAGATTTATCCAGATCAAACTGTCTAAAAATGCCCTGCAAATGAAAAAAATGAGTTTGAGTTGCTACCGTACTATTCACATGATGTAGGGAAGGTTACGTGATGAGTGATGCACCAGTCAGTTTCTCACCAGCCACTTCCTGATTTTATTCCATAGAATCTGGAACTCCACAATTCCCAGTCGTGCACTGCCATCTTTCTGAGTTTGATCAGTCAAGGCCAACAAAATCAACCAAAGGCTCAATAATCAGATGAAATATACACACTATTAGATAAGCAAAAGTTGCTTAGCATTTTACAATCGAAGGATACATCCATCAGGCTGACCATGCACCTACACGACTCCAAACTGAACCCATCTGTCTTCAAGTCCCTGTCTGAAGAACACAGAAGAGCGGAGGCATTTCTCAAGTACACAGACAGACCAGACATGAAC